AAAAACCTATAATAGTTAATTGCAAAAAAACTAAGAGAATACAAGGACCCTAATTGATCAAACACCTATAGTTAATTGCAAAAAAACTAAGAGAATACAAGGACCCTGATTGATCAAAAACCTATAGTTAATTGCACCGGTATACCTTCAATAGTTATTTTATAAATTAAAGCAATAGACGACATTTTCTATCCACTTATCAGCTGGATGATGGGATAACATAGGAAAAGTTTGTAAGTCAGGAGCCATAACCAAGCGACTTATAAAGTTTTCAGTCTATCGCTTAATTAACTCTTTTATTCCACTATTACGTCAATTTACCATATTAGGGCAACAGAACATGCAAAGTATTATAATTCACTGTAAACCAGGGGAAAATAACAACAGAAACAATTTGTGCGATCTTTGACTTCTTTGCCATTTTTTAGACATGATATTTTTCAATTTATTAAAATGAAACTAAGTTTCATTTTAAATTACTGTCTCCAATTTAGAAAGGTAAAAGGTAAAGTCTGTTTACGAGCCTAATGGCCCATTAGGCCAGTGCTTAACTCCGGTTTCTGTGGCATGAAGCGACTAGGAGTATTTCTACTCCCCCCTGGATGGGATGCCAGTCCATCACAGGGTTACCCCCAGCATTAAATTGCTGGTACCCATTTATACACCTGGGTGAAGAGAGGCACAGTGCGAGTAACGTGTCTAGCCTAAGAACACAACACAATGTCCTGGCCAGGGCTCGAACCCGGATCACACAATCCGGAGTCGAGCGCACTAACCATGAGGCCACCACACCCCCACCCAATTTAGAAAGATGCCTCCGTAATTAGTGAAGGTGAACAGAATAAGATTCCATTTTAAAAGAAGTAGAATAATAACATGTACAATCCAGATAAGTCAAGAATTATAAGCATCAGCATCCCCAAAAGCTAAGAACAAATCTCTCATTTTAGTATTTGAAAATTGATCAAAACACACCATGTAAAACAAAATCCATGTAAATAAAGCATGATCTATTATGGAATTTACTCTTACCCTTTCTCATTATCAAAGCATGATCTAATATGGAATTTTCTCTTGTCCCTTCTCATTTATCCCACCACTTCCTGGGGTGAGGTCAGCTTAACATTAATTTGTGGTCATCCTTTACTTCTTTTCTCTCTCTCTCTCTCCCTCAGATCTCATTTATCTTTTACTGAAGGCAATTCAGGCCTATGAAACTTAGCTACACAAATGAAGTACTATTTGCACACTTACCAATATGCAAACTGTCCATAAACTTGGACAGATCTTGAAAAATTAATAACAACAATCATCATCGATAATAAATTCTCATTCAATTAACAATTATAAATGCAGTTTTTGATTGCCACTTTTTCAGTCACTTACAATATCATGTTTTCCTGCAAATTCAAGCACAACTGTTGTATTCAGAAATTCTTGTCATTCTGTGTAGTGCTTAGAACTTTGGTATAAAAAAGGCAACAGTTTTAACTCTCTTCTTTTTCTTCTCATCTTTCTTTCTAGGAAATGGCTTCTTATAATACTTTTGATCCAGCTTACAATGGAATTTACAAGGTTCTGTTCTGTATAGCAACCATCTAAACACATTGACTGAGTTAAATTAACAATGTGTTAAAAAGATTCACAGCAAGGACTTCTGTGCAATTCAATTGACTAACAAAACTCCAGTAGATTAGAAAAAAATTGTTCTAAAAACTGCCATTAAACAATATCCTGGGGCACATGACTATTATTATACAGGAAAAACAATTATCAGATAAACACACTAAACACTAATAAAATTTTTAACCTTTTTCTGATGAATGAGAAACCTTTTGATCTTTAAAACTTTGATCAGGAATGTCTACACTTTGTGCAAAATTTATTGTTTCACTTGACTGTTAAACTTTCGTTTTTGTTATACAGAATTAAATATGTCAAAAGTATACTTGTGAAAGCCTCACAAAAATTACTTTTAGAAAGTGAAAAGATTATCAGTACCAAAACAAAACCATGTTATTACGTATGGTTCTTTTATCTTTTGACAGTCTATTCCCTGCTGTACACTTCTGACGCCTCATGACTTTCATTGATTTTGTACTTCATGTCATTTACCAAACATTTCTTTTACCAGTAATCTTTGAATTCCTCAGTTTCTAGAATCTCCTAATTACTAGTAGAAAACTCAAATCCCTTCCTCTTTCATGTGCAGTAAATAAACCATGATTCTATGAACCTGATTACGGTTCAAACCAATTTCCCATTCCATAGGACATTCCAAAAGTCAACCATGCACTGTCAATTTCCCATTTCCGAATTACCTTTGGCCTCGTTTTCAAAACAAGTCCTGGTGCTCATCCTTTCATATGATAATAAGTTTTCATTTACATGCAAATTAAACTCATTTTCACAAGAATGGTTGAGCACCAGGCCTCGTTTTGAAAAAGAGGCCAAGGGTAATTCGGAAATAGGCTATTTAGCCACCATTTTTGAAAACTTTTTTCTGATTAATCAATATCTTAATTCAGCTAATTAATGACTTTAAATATTCGATACATAATTCCTTGTTAAAATGTAACATAACATCTATTTAAAATTGTACCAAAATCTCACAAGTCAGAAAATCAAAGGGTAATTTAAAGTTTCATCTAGATAATTATAATGGCTTAACTATCTGAGAAATGACTGCACATATTACCTTAAAAATTACATGTATGTAGTGATAAATTAAGTCTTCATGTAATGCAAGGCTCTAAAAGAAAAATCTACAGCAACCTATAGTTTCAATAGCTCCACCAAGTCATGTAGTTCATGGGTTTACTAGCAAAAATAATAGTAACAGCAAAATACACAAGTTGTCACAGGACCTGAGGACCCAACAATCTAAAAATCTCTTTGTATATGCTAGAATTCGATATTTTAAGAGCAAAGATTTTCACCTCAGTTTGAGTGGTAACAAACCACATATATAAGTCAATGAATTATTTTCAATGCAGAATTTTGATAATGATGAAGACATGAGCAGTGAGAGAGGTTGCTACTTCAAAGATGGCAAAAGGAGGATTGGTAAGTCATCTTCCAAATAAAAAAAAAATTAAAAAAAAAACACTCTTCAAAAAAAAAACTTAATGAAAAAAAAAAATTTCAGCTCTTAATATTTATGTGTACCTACAACAGTTGACTTGATTTATCTAACTGTCCGACACAAGTTGAAAATAAAATCCTTTAGCAATTTTATTGAGACAGGAGCCAAGGATTTTATCTGAGAATTCTGAGTCAGAGCTTTCGTTGATATATAAACAACGTCGTGACTTTTGTACAAGAACTTAGCAACCATTTTACTTTTGACATAAAATTTTGCTCATCTCCCTTCAAAATAATTTTGACTGACAGCCCAAAATGAATGTATCTTTCAAGTTCCAAATTCTCTTCATTTCATCTCTCTTATCTAACTTTAATTAGCAATACATCCAACAAATAGTTTCCTTTCCAAAGCTTTCATTTAAAAGAGGATTATATAATTTTCGTACTAAAGTAAGCAATATAGTTACTAATCCACCTTATTAATTTTGTTTGATTCTAAGATGCTTACAAGTTACCACTTTTTTTAGACTTTGTGCTCGTCTATGAAGAAGAAGAAAAGGCTCCTCCACCCAAACATCTTGAGCAAAGACAGAAGTTCCTGGAAAATTTAGCCAAGTCTCAACTTGAATTTGAAGAGGTACGACTTTGGTTAGATTCGTTTTTAGTGTAAGCGGTCTGAGCCAATGAGGGTAGGATAAAAATAGAGAAAAACATTTCAAAAGCTGTTAAATACGTTTAAATAAATCCCTCACCTATGTAATATTGGTATTTTGAGCGTTAACGAGAATATCTGTGTGTACCAGCGTTACCACTGCTTGCAGGATGTTTGCCTAGTTTCCATAGGACAAAATGTTCAGCTTACACCACAGCTTATCACCGTTTCTTTAATTTTTCTCAGGCAGTCTTCCTCTGCCATCGTTAGTTTAAAAGATGGCGGATAGACTGTATGGTACTTTTACTGACTAGACTAAGCGTCGAGAAAGCAAAATGATTGGGCAAGAGTTCCATATAATCCCATACATTAATTATGCATAGAGTGTTTCAAAGAAACCTTTATATTTAGTCTTTATGTATGGGGTTATATGGAACTCTTTCCAATGATTGTCCTGAGGAAAATAAAGGAGAGCTTTCCATGGTTAAAATTTAATATATGGATGTTGAAAGATTCCATGTTTAACCTGTAGGAGGTGACTCAAGACAAGAAAGTCAAGTTACACTTTATCAAGTGCCATGCCCCTTGGGAAGTGCTGCTGTTCTATGCGGAGGAATTGAACTTCAGAGCACCGCTCGAGGTTAGAATCCACCTATCCTAATTTCTGTTTTAATTTCCTTTTAAGTCAGGTAAAAAGGATAAGCATTAGAAAATTTGAATTTTTTTAACCCTTAATTGTATAATAAGCAAGTTATCGTTAATAAATATTAACTTAAACAGATTCTAAACTTTTACTTTGTCTCATAGCTCCGCACATCGAAGAAGATAAACTGGTCAGAAAGAATCTTGGAAAAGTTTCACATACCGAATATCTTCAAGGATGAAGTACCCGGCACACCCAATGATTACTTCACGTGCACATTCCAAGCCAACAAGCTCAATAAGTAAGTTAGTCACCTGGACAATCACAATTTATTGCGTTCACAGGAATTTATTTTTATGAGTAATTTAACTCTCTACACTCAAACATCAGTATGCATATTTTCCATACTTTTCTCCATACATTTGCTCTGACATAAAGAAGGAGAAACAATCAAGAGCTTCTTTAGTTGGTAATCATTTCATTTTTTTTCTGATGACACCGATGTTTGACTCAGAGGTGATAATGTAAGGAGAAATTGGATGGCAATTCCTCTTGGAGGTTTAAGGGAGGACTTACATTGTAAACTATCCCAAATGAAGAAATAATCTTTGAAAATGAGCTGTATTTTAGCCAAATGCAGAAAAAAGAGCCTGAAAAAATTCAACCTGTGTCTCTCAGATACAAATATTGTGTTTACACATTATCTTGGCCATATCGTCATGTGTATGTGTGTCCATGTTCGAGGACAAACCCAGTCAATGCATTAATAATTTTTTTTTTTCACTCATTCTGCTAGGTTTATTGGCCATGAAGATCAAGATAACTACTTTACAGAAACAGAAAGAACAAGAGTGGTAAGTATCTAAAACTTTTCAGTTCTCCTCATTAACTCCAAGAGATGCAGTGCCTACATGTGTATCTATAGCCTCTGCTATATCTCATGTAGTTCTCACACAAATTGTGGCAAATTTTTTTCCCAGCTACTCTCTTTAAGGATATGGTAGACCTTCAACAGCGAGGATTGAAATTATACAGAAGTTTTATTTGTGCACCAAATAATTCACTCAAAGAAACATTGTCCATGGGAATTGTCATGCCCAATTCAGTTTACGATAAGAATAAATAAGCCAAAACAAATTTTTTTTTTTTTAAAATAATGCATTTCATAATCAGAATTCCATTGATAATAATTTAGCGTGATTATGCTTTAAATAGCCTGCCTAATTTTTTTTTTGTGCAAAGACAACTGTGAAGATCTACCATATCCTTAAACAGTCAAGAAGCAAAAAGGTTTAAACTTTTTACATCTTAACAACAGTGTATATATTCTCCATACTGTTTTCTACATATTCCCTACAGTGCTGACAAGGAGAATTTGTTTCACAAAGCAACAAATCAAGAGCTCCTAATTACCTTAGTTGATGTTCAATTCCTTTATTCTTGTGACCGTAATGTTTGATCCAGGGGTGAATGTATACTTTTTGACTCTAACTGGTGTTTGGCAGTATAGGATATTGCAAGGATAGACTTTATATCTCATAGTAAAATACTCCACCACTCTTTCAAGGTGTATGAAATTATGGAGACAGCTCCATTTGGAAAGAGACAAAAAGGAGAAATTGGTAAGCAGATTGTAGTGGAATCTTTATGTGATCCTAAAAAAGCATGAGACTGAACAGGATTATGCACTTTCTTGTGAAGTCTTGAAAAGAACACCACTTGCGCTCTCAAACATCCTTTGAAATAATACATTTTTTTCCACAATGCACAAAATTTAGGACATTATTGATTGAAACAGGATCAAGATTAAGAAAATTATTCTAAAACTCCAACAACTGATTTACCTCAAAATTCTCTTAAATTTGTTTTAAGAAAAGTAGTATGGTGAGTAAAGGGAACAGTAATGTTGACCTTGAATTATGTTTTCACAACAGGCATTAATCGGCTTGTTGAAGAAGGAGTTTTCAAGGCTGGGTATCCTCTTCATGTGGTAAGTTTATTTGTGATTTAGACAATTCACCTTTTCTCATTACCAACAGTTAGGTAAGGTATGTTTCCGTCCAGAGAACTATGAATATATGTACACTGTTTGTGATATTCTGAGAATTTGCAATATGATTTTCATTTCTTAGGCAAAGTATGCTAATAACCAGCCAAATAAAAAAATCCTAAAAAGGTCAGTTAATGACATTTTTTTGTAATTAGTACCACTCAACTGCATAAGTTACAAGTTAAAGCAGTCAAGGTAATACCCTGTAGTGTCCAGTTAAACTCTGTGAACCACTTGGTGACCAACTTCTTGCAAATTTCTCCTCATTAGGGACCTGCGGAGCTGCCAAAGGAATGGAAAGAAGGACCAGATGGACCTGAAGAACTCAAACTTAACAAAAGGCAGATCCTGAAAGAGTACTGGGCACGATGGGGAAAATGGTTGAAATACCAGCCACTTGATCACATCAGGTTTGTAATATTACAGATTCTGTTTGTTTGATGTGTGTCTCTGGGATGGGGAGGGTGGGGTTGCTCAAGAGAATTTTGAGTCAAATGCTCTGCTTTGAGATTCAAAATATTTAATGTTGGTACACAAAAGGTTTCCAGAAATTTGATTAGTAGTCATTGCACCAAGAGACGAATCTAACCCCAGCCAGCTGAACATCATTAACACAAACCAAATAGAATCGTCCTTTGGAAGGAGCTCAATTAAGGAGTTGTGTGATCATTGTGCAACTGCCATGACACTTGGTCCATTAGTGGAGTTGTGATAATTTTTTTTCTTATACACTATTTTGTATACTTGTCTCAGATATCAATTTATTTTAATAATTTATATTTTAGGGACTACTTTGGAGAGAAGATTGGTATTTATTTTGCTTGGCTAGGTAGGAATGTTTCAAATTTTATAAAATCTCCACCACAAGTCTTAGAGCTTTGAAACCTTCTCTTCTATTATGATCCAACCTTAATCAACATTTTTAATTCTTGGCAAATGGTGATGTTTAGGTCAGTACACAGCATGGCTTCTCATGCCATCATTTGTTGGATTGCTGGTGTTTCTGTATGGTGTCATAACTATGAATGGACCTGACAACAAACCTGCGTGAGTATCATTCAACCATTAACCTTATACTCCCGAGAGCAGTGTATTAATTCTCCTTACTGTCTCTCTTATGATTCTTATGATATTAGTCTGGAGAATTTGGTATTAGATCAACTGATAAGTTTTTTTTTTGTTTTTAGCCTTGATGTGTGTGAAAGTCCTCCAGGAACCTACATGATGTGCCCATTGTGTGATGAGTCCCTTGGCTGTCATCCAGTTGATCTGCACTCAAGTTGTATGCTGGGCAAGGTATGAGAACTTTCTGTTTATTAGAACTTGCCGCTAATTATTCAATTGGTTCCAGCCTCCTGGCTCTGACATTCCCTTTGACTCTGCTAAGTCATCCATCTGAAGGTCCTCTCCACTAAGAGCATGCTCTCAATGATAATCTGCAACTTGTCATATTTTATTTGATATTCTGTGACCAATATCTAGTGGTGTTAAGGCAATAAAATCAATATCTAACCAACTTTTTTCTTTTTCTCTTCCTGTCCACAGGTTTCATACTTGTTTGACAATGCAGCCACAGTTTTCTTTGCTGTATTTGTCTCCTTTTGGGGTAATTATCATCTAAAAGAGACCCCCTCCCCCCCCTAAGAAGTTACTTCAATCTGTTAAATAGACTTAAGACGTTAAAAAGTACACATAGCCATCTGGTTACTACATACTACCTACATGTCTCTAAATGAACTTTCTTGTCCATCAAGTCTGACTCCACCTGCAGCACTGAACTTGGACATTGAATCTCATGGTTGTGGTTGTTTTGTTTTGTAGCGGTGTTTTTCTTGGAGTTTTGGAAGAGAAAAGAAATAACTCTGGCATACCACTGGGATGTTCTGGAGTATGAGGAAGAAGAGGTAATGTAAACAAGTGTTCTTATTATGGGAAATACAATAGATGTGTGTAAAATGTGGCTATCAGACAATTGATGTGCGTAAAATGTGGCTATCAGACAATTGATGTGCATAAAATGTGGCTATCAGACAATTGATGTGTGTAAAATGTGGCTATCAGACAATTGATGTGTGTAAAATGTGGCTATCAGACAACTGATGTGTGTAAAATGTGGCTATCAGACATTGGTTGTAAAGGAGGTCACCCTCTTTTCTCGGTTATACAGTAAATGAATAAAGGGGTAAGTTTCTAAAGAAACTGTTAGTGGTGCTTCTTCAGCGGGGAGTATTACAAGATAATTTGTTGTTATCAACTAAGCTGATTATGTAAACTGACTGCTGTTAAGAGTTGTTAGAGCTGACGTTTCGAGCATCAGCCTTTCGTCAGAACGAAGGGCTCTAAATCGAGTTTGGTCCAGTCTCCTGAGCACATTTCCAAGAGTTAATTTGCACTGACATTGTTTCTTTATGTCGTTCAGGAACGTCCACGGCCAACATTTGCAGCTTTAGCACCAACAGTTGAACGAAACCCAGTAACAGGAATACTTGAACCGCACTTCCCTGATGAGAAGAGACAACCTCGGGTCTTCTCGGGAATAGCTATTGTTATTACTATGGTAAGACGATAATGATACCACTGAATAATGTCTAAACGACTAACATAGTTTACCCTTAATTCCGTATCGCCCGTTTTCTCGTTTAGACAGGCCCATTCACCGAGGGTAAAATCCGAAGTTGATAGAAAAATGTTTAACTGGTGGGATACCCGAGAATAGTGACACCACTCAATCGCTGTGATTGTGATTAGCTGTGATTTTTTTTTTGAGAGCATTACGTATGCACAGCCCTAAAATGCGGACAATCCCTCTTATCCCGTGCACCCCCTACCACACCATCTCTTCGCTAATTTTCGCATGTGCCTGTTTTCTGTTTGGTTCAGTTTTGTTTGTCTTGTTTTCGCACGCGGTTGTCTGTTTGGTTGTTTGTGTTTTCGCTCACTCTCATTCGAAGTTTATGTACTGAACTCGAGAAACGGTAGTGCTTGGCTAAATATAACACGAATATAATCAAACCTATCCTCGATATTATTAGTTAACAATACTAACCTGTTCTTTTGTTTGTTTCGTTTTTTTCTTCTTTCTTTTGTTTTGTTTTGTTTTTTGTTTCTGTTCTCTTGTTTTTCAGGTTTCTCTTGTGTTGGTGTTCATGGTGGGAGTGATTGTCTACAAGCTGTTGGTTTACCGACCACTGGCATCCAATCCATCGACCCGAGCTCGAGCTCAACAAATCGCCAACATCACTGGCGCATTTGTCAACTTGACAATCATCATGATCCTCAGCAGGGTGGGTACAGTCTATCACACACGACTAGTCACTGTATCCATGTCGTAAGAAAAGGTCTCCTTAACGGTGGATGGTCCATCGGTGGAAAAGTCTCATTTTGGAAGATTGTCCGAGAAAATTGAAGAGCTGTCCGAGGAGCGCAGTGTTACATTCTATGGCATGGCATCGAAATTCAATACTATAGTCTTAAGCAATCCTTTACGCAACTTTTTTTTTTTTTTTTTTGCCCAACCAGAAAATATCAGCAAAGTGTGTCTTCTGTGCAAAGATAATTTCTAGTAACTAGGAAAAAGAGTGAAGTTGTTTCATATTGTAGGTGAACTGAAGAATTCTGCATTCTTTTGTAGGTTTACGAAAGAGTCGCCTTAGCATTGACTCATTGGGGTAAGTCGTGTCAAATTAATAGCAGAAGAAAAGGAGATGAGTATTTGATTTGGTAAGCCGAGGGCTCTCCTCTTTGGTAGAGGTTACAGTGATACCGTGGTACTGACTGACCAACCCTTTTCCCCTCGTGAGAAGCACGTGACCAGCCCATGTGAAGAACTTGTCACATAAAATTTGTTTTTTCTTTATGCCTGTAGAAATGCACCGAACACAGACAGAGTATGAGGACAGTTTGACTTTCAAGGTGTTCGTGTTTCAGTTTGTGAACTTCTACTCGTCCATCTTCTACATTGCATTCTTCAAGGGAAAGTAAGAAGGAAATTTTAGTTGCATGTTTCAAATTTTGTTTTTTGCCCAACACTGCATTCTACATTCAAGCTCTAAATCGCGTGTGATCGTCTGGTTGATCACGTGTAGACGTCAGTTAAACCCACACTGTTAAGCCCTCAACACTGAAACATGTGAAAAACTTACCGAAACAATGTATCTTCGGCGTAGAAGAGAACATATTTATGGGCATCAGAGGAGGAATTATTCCAAAGAAAGAAATGTTTATTTTGCAAGTAAATGCCTGAACGCGGGACCAAAAAAAGGTGGACCCTTCTTCCTCCCCCCGATGCGGATGCGAAATTCAGAATTCCTAAAGAACAGTCGAGCAATTTAGGTCATATGCAAAAGTCACATGCGACCAAAGTCCTGTATCCTGCGAGGAAATGGAATGTGAAACGCGTTCTGTGTGCAATGTTGTCGTGGAGCTGAGTTTCTGCCTTGTTCGTTTGTTTGTTTGGTTACCGTTTTATCTTTTCTTTTTTTTTTTCCGCTGGAGGGGAGGTTTGTTAAAGATGTAAACTTTATTAGATGCTAGTGAAAAAGACTGTTGACTGATGAATTGTGCATTGTGTTTTGTAGGCTGGTTGGTTACCCCGGACATTACCGCAGATTGTTTGGCCTCAGGCAAGAAGAGGTAAGCTAAACTTTGAAAGTCATCACCATGTAGAGTAATGGTGTGACGCTAACATTGTGAGAAGTAAAGTTTGCTTTTGCACGGAAAATAAGGTCCGTCCCTGTAACTCTCACCAAGATATGATTTTTTGTTTACCAGTGTGCACCTAGCGGCTGTCTTATGGAGCTGGCTCAGCAACTTGTGATTATCATGGTCGGCAAACAAACCATTAACAACGTGCAGGAGATTGTTATTCCGTAAGTATAACGCTCAGACGGAGATTAGTAGAGAATGGTTTTAGAGCAAATGTCGCTAGCAATCTTGGATTGTTTCGGTTTAAGGTTACAACGTTTTTCGATTGAGCGTCGTTAAACCAAACCAAATTTATCACAACAGCTAATCAAAAGAAAAGAAAATAACCAAGGGAACGCAAGAGAACTTAAAAAAAAACCCAGGAAACTGCTCAAAGCGCGGGAAAGCGCGGCCGACCAAGTGGTGATCGAGTGTAGTTTTACATTTTATTGGTTGACAGAGTGACGCTAGTTTTTTTGGATAATCGCAGAGTGAAGTGAAGCAAAACCAAAAAAATCCCGGTTTACTTCTGACACTTAATTGAAAATTGATCTTATATGGCATAGTTTATCAAACAATTAGAGGCAAAGCTTAAACCAATCGTTAGTTGCTCGTAAACCGTTACGTTTTACCGCGTTTAATGCTGGTTGCGAATTTTGAGTTTTCACAGTTCTAATGTAAAATTTGCCTATATTCTGATTGGCTATTTTAGTTTCTTTGGTTTGGTCTTGCAGCTCACAGTAGAGAAGTGTATTTTTTCTTAAAAGACACGTAAACTATGGCTAGTGGTAACCAGAAACCTGAAGTTGTTAGATGATGGGTTAGCATTTGGGGCAAAGACGTAGATATTTCCAAATGAAAAGTGTTGGCGGGTTGATCGAAATTAAGGACCTCTCAGTGAAGTGCTTGACGATTTGTTTGTAGAATGCTAAAGCAATGGCTTAAGAGAAAGAAGCGAGGTACCTCCAAAGAAGAAAGCAAACCTCGATGGGAGGCCGACTATGAACTGGTGGAAAATGAAGGACTCTTCCAAGAATACTTGGAGATGAGTAAGTGTCCACGAAAAAAAGTGCTAATATGTAAATAGTGAACGAATACTTCCCATGTTGGCCTGCGTTGTTAAGAATAAATCACAGATGACGTCAAAATGTGGTAAGAACAAAGAAGTGACAGATGGGACACAGTCGTTACTGTTCTTACCACATTTCGACGTCTATTGTTATCTACTACAGAACAAACCCACGGCAACATGGAGTCTACTTGGTTTACCTGATGACTAAGCAAAGTGTTGTTTATGGTGACGTCATCCATGCATTTGTTCCCATTAGATCATAAGTGATGAGTACCAAAATGCGCGTAGGATTCAGCTTCTCATATGATTTGACACAGATAAACTGAGGTTAAACAAGTTAGATGAATATTAGATCTAAGACTGTCTCAATAGAGTTAAACAGCAGAATAAGAGATATTGATTCCGTTAAGATGCAAGTTTTACCCACTTCATACCTAATGGGAGTCACCAATAGTTCTTCTTTAATGTCGAACGAGATTAAATTTGACTTCCAGATTTTCAATTTATCTCACAAATTGTTATTTTGTTTTCCCAAAAAGTTCTCCAGTTCGGTTTCATTACCATCTTTGTGGCCGCGTTTCCTCTGGCTCCATTCTTCGCCCTTGCCAACAACATCTTTGAGATTCGAATTGACTCAGACAAGTTCGTTTGTGAGGTGAGAAGACCCATCGCCGACAGGGCTCAAGATATCGGCATCTGGTTTGACATTCTGGACAGTGTTGCTAAGATAGCTGTCATCAGCAACGTAAGTAGAACTAGCCAATCACAATGACGTAACTAGAGTAAACACCAATCACAGCGCGGCTTGCACATTAGTCGCTTACGCTCGTATATAAAAAAAAACGTTTAGAACTTATTTAAGTCTCTGAATACATTTTTTAGAGTTGTTTAATGTTCTGGAAGAGTTGTCAAAGCCAGCAAGCAGATAATTTTTTTTATTTATGTGAACCCAAGTGCGCGAAAGCGGAGAACGAAAAATGTCGCAGTAATCAGAGAGCGGAAAATATCAAGGAAGAGGGGGCGGGAAGGCTCGTGTCAACTTGCTTGTTGTTTTTTCTTGTTAATGTTGTAGTTGTAAGCTCATCGTCGAAATTAAGTATCTGGGTTAGCCAATAATACTTCAAAGGTTACAGAAAAAATCCTCGATATCTGTGTATATTATTATCTTTTGCAGGCTTTCCTCATCGCCTTCACCTCAACCTTCTTGCCGAAGATCCTCTACCGCTTTGCAATATCAGAAAACAATTCCTTAGAGGGATATCTTAACTTCTCCTTGGCTTGGTCTCCCCATAACACCACGGCTGTACCATGCAGGTATGCGTTACTCTTAGGTAAATTGCCGCGCACATTCCCAAGATGTAACTGATCTATCATGCGAGTTGTCGCATAGAAGTAAGATATTTACGATGACCTAATTAGCCTCTGACTTGTGAAATGTTTTTGGTCAAACTTAATGGCGTACTGGCAATATCATAGTTATGAATGGTATTGGAACCCAAATTTTATGGGATCTATCTTCAGAATTATTTAGAGTTCAAGGTAGCCAGAACTTTGTATTTCCTGTTATACCATAGAGCGTTCGAATGACAATTTCGCGGATCCACGCGACTGATTTATTCCACTCCTGTTTAACTTTTTCAGATACGCAGAGTTTAGAGATCGCGAGGGTCACTTCACCAGTTTTTACTGGCACCTTTTAGCTCTTCGGTTGGGATTTGTCATCATGTTTGAGGTAAGATTGTCTCTTTATAATCGTGATGCTTGCAACAAATTCAATCGATGTAGCCATTTCATCTGTTTGCTCCGAAGCAAATCGGGATATCCCATGACCTCTCGTTGGCACACAAAGTACTATTACCGTCATAACCTGCCGCTCTGTTGCTTAGCAACTTGATGAGCCAACTTCACAGCCTCGCCTAGACATGGTGACATATTTTCCAACTTCAACTTGCTTCTCCTCGTGTTCTTTCTTTGCAGCACTTTGTTTTCTTTGTTTCTCGTTTGATCGACTTATTGGTGCCGGATGTACCACAGTCGCTGGAGATCAAGATCAAGCGAGAAGCGTATCTTGCCAAACAGGCGTTGTCTGACCACCACAATCTGATGGGAGGAAAGAGTGATGGCGAGAGTGCCGACGATCTGGAGGAAGATTATATACCGTAACTGATGTTTGCCTTTGTTAATAGAAAGGAAATTGCAAGTCCTGAAAATGTACATTGCGTGATCGTGTCACACAATGCACAAAGTTGCGTGACTGGGCTATGTAGAGGGTCACGTGGAACCGCACGACGTCAGTTTTTCCTTATTTGGCTATCGTTAACTTTAATTTCGAAAATTATCCCGTTTTCCTCGTTATTTTTAGGTCTTGCAAACCATTTATAATTCAGTAGCTAGCTGAAATTGCAGATTTGAAATTGTAGTTGAGATGCGGAGTGCTCTATCTGTGTGGGTGTAAAAGTAACACTGGTGATGGTGTTGGTCATTGGTTTAAAGAATAAGAAAATAACTATTGATATATTATATATATCCTAAAAATCAACTATTGTCGTGCGTAGATTTAGTCGCTAATCAGCTGACTTCGTCGCTATTAATCAAATCAAAGTTATAAGGTTTTTAGTGCGTGCAGGAGAGAACGTATGCTCAAATTTTGATAGTTCTTTTCTTTCTGAAAATTACACATCACATCCATGAATTCCTTAAACTTACTAGCTCGTCGCCGTTTCTGTTTCGTTTGTTTTTCTTCTTCGTCATCTTCCCTGTTAAGTTGTCAGTGACGGTATGAAGGTTCCTTCGGTTTCCATTGTTCAGTTGTAAAATAATTTTCTAAAGTTGAACACGGTCAGAGTCCTTACACTTTGATGTGGGAGACTGTTTATTCCATTCATTAAATCCATCATAGCTGTCAAGGTCACTTGGTGATAACAGAAAAAAATTTATTTATTAGCATTAAAAAAAAACCTAAGTTATACGTCGTAGATTGATCGCAATTATTATCAAAATGTAAGTAACGAGGAATGTCCATGTGACGACGAATTGCTATTTGATTTTCAGATCTTTATATATTGTTTGTTTTTAATACTGTTATTTTATAAATCTCCTGCAAGGGGAATAAGTTCCATTTAATGACATAGAATGTCAAGATATTTTCCGCCATCTACCAATGAAAGAAATCTAGGAAAATCGGTGGATTGAGAGATAAAAATCGTATTCGGATGCAACCTGGTTTCCAGGGTCCTCTCTCTTCCTCCTTTAAGGACCCTGGGAACGAGGCTGATTTTGAAGATGAAAGGGAATAGATGACATTATTTCAGATGAGTAAGCGAAATTAAATCTGGTCTTGTTGGTGTTTTAGCGAGATGAAAACAGACCAAAACCCACTAGTCAATTGTTACAGGCGCCACAGAATCTTTAAAATTACATTTCTTACCCCCTTTGGGGCTCACTAATGTTTTCTGAGTTGAATGTAATTTATTCAGGTGATCTATTCTATTGGAATTTTAATTTACAGTTCGTTACGCTAGATGAGCTAGCAAGTGGTGACATGGAAATTCGATTTCGTTTTGTTTTCCAAGAAAAGTTATATTTGAAAATTATATATTATGTTATTAAGTTCTATGGGATATATGTTGGCAAGGCAACATTGTATAATTTTGGGATGGAGAGTGTAAATACCCGTTATTGGGGCTCCAAATTGTTTTCACCTAGTTTAGTGTATAGGCGACTTGATCGCTGTGTTTAGTATCTTCCTGTCGTAAATATTGGTTTAGTTAGTTACAGCTTGGACGTTCAGGTTTGGTTCAATATCTTTGTAGTTATTAGTTTTGATAAAGTATGTGAGGCTGTGATATTTGTTCTCTCTGCTACAATAAATGATGCAATTAGAATTACCTTAAAAAATTCGGATGACAATGAGTGGAACTTGCTTTTGATTATGAAAACAAATTTCACTTCCTTTAACTTTACTGCACTAACTTAATTCAGGTATAGCGTCCTTCTGAAACCAAGATTAGAATCTTTGTCATATATTTAACGGATTTGGTTTTATAGGTTGAGTAGCAGGGATACCTTGAATCGTGTAGTGGTGTACCTAGTAACTGGATAGTAACAGCGGTTATTTATGTCGTATGATAGTCTGTGGTATAACACTCAAGGGCGGTGCACTGCCTGCTGGCGGGTGGCCTGGGACTGTGTTAAAAACGTGCAAGAGTGGCTCAAATAAACTGGTTCGTTGGACAATATTGTATTAATTTCTTTCGTCTGCACTTTATGGATAACATGTTGCATTTGTTAATTTACCTCCAAATGCTTCTACATTTTATGTAGAGCAGGTGGACTGCTCTACATAACTGCGCTCTCTGTTCTAATGAAATTATTTCTTTTTCTTCTGTGTTTACGAGACAGCGGTAGGCCTGTGTACCTTCATTTGAGCTGTGTTAATCGCCCCAGTTACCTTACCTAGGATTCATGAAGTGCGCTTAGGTTTGGTTTGAAAGTGTGTTATTGTTATTTTTGTTGTTCTTGTTCTTTTTTTTTTACTTTCAGTTCGTTGCAGTTCTCGGTACCAAAAAAACTGTAACTTCTGTAGGGTAGCCAATAATCTCTAACGAAACCAAACAATCTTGTAATACCCCCTCCCCCCATCAACATGACACCGCAGTTTTATAAAAATAAAAGACTTCAGCTTCCTGTTTCCCATGACTTTTATTAAAAAATTTCTGATGACTGCACCTACATCATAACGGTAAAGTGAAATCAAACACTGGTGAACTCATGAGCTGCAGAATTTCAGCGACTTTACAGATAGCTTGCTTGAGTAGTTTTGCTGGAGGTGGTGCTGAACTTGGGCCAAAACGGCGCAACTCACATTTTTCCAATCTTCACGTCCTTCGATTCTCCTACACCGAAAAAAAAATAAATAAATAAGGCTGTTACTATAATATAGCCACGGGAAAATGACCCCTTCCTAAGCAAACTCAGTCAATTCAAAAAAGTTCAACAAAGCTGTTTATTCCAGGCCCCACATGATTTTCATCCCTGTGAAGTCGTTCAGTCACAGTATCAAAAACTGACGTACATAACATACTCTTATCCAAGTCCTTACTCTGCACAATTCAGCTGACGACATTCTTGACGACCAGAGTGCTCTTTTGCACATTACAATAATCTTAGGCAACACGAGGACCTTCTCAAGCCCTAATCATTCTCCTTTATCAATGACGACGATTAAGAAAACATAATGAACACAATACCTGTCGAGAAACTTCAACACCCTCCATAACTGCTCTAAGTTTTTCAATCCAATGAGCTGTAACAAATAATCCCTGAACACTTCAACATCTTCCTCTAGAGGAACTGTATGAGAAAGGTATCTGTGGTCAAAAACTAGAAACTTAGGGCCCTTTAGGTCATGAGCTTCAGTCAAGAACTTATAGACTTAAAGGGGCATCCTTCCCATAAGTGAGAAAACGCTAACTCCATGACACACGTTGGTAAAGCGCTGACGGTAGAAGTTTGAGATATGATTTCTATTTTTTTATTTAACTTAAGCTGTAACTTCTACCACATGATAGATAATGAGCAGCCTCTCCTTTTCGGCAAAGTCCATCGCGCAAGTAGAAAAAAGTCAGTGGAAATAACATTAATGTTAGCACACCGCGCAGAACTCTGCGTCCTACTCCCAGAATTCCGTGCGGCGTACAACGTCACTTTTTTTTTCCATTGATCTTTTTTTACTCGCGCGATGAACTTTGCCTGTAGGGACCTGGTCGTGGTCTAACAAGATGACAAGGTGAAATCTACCTTCACAAGAGGAAGTCCAGTCGGTAATAACTTTCTTTACATCACAAAGGGTAACAGCCTCTCCCAAACGTGCCTAAATCAGAGGAATAGGGAAGGTAATTCATTAGGAACATACTAAACCATTAAAAAAGATACAACATCGTACAATATTTGTCGATCAACAAATGACAAAGACTGTTGTAACTTGTTCCCTAGCACGTTTACCAACATTTAAAAAGTTTACGTTCATTTGCTTTGAAAAGTTAAAATTGAAAGATAACTAGGTCAAGGATAACTAGGTCAAGAGAAAAGGCAAAATTGGCCGCTGGAAAACAACTCCGAGGAAGAACATCGTGTCATGGCTGCCACAAATAGCTAATCAATCTAAACTTCCACGAGCTTACAGAATGGTATGCTCCTCTAGAGATTCTACTGACTGTTGTCATCGTAATTCCCTTTAACAGAATCATATCCTGTGACCAGTATCGTTCCTGAGACAGCTATAGAATGTTTGCCAGACATGGAGTGAGACAATGTTAATGTCATATACCCAGCTGCTGAGTTAATACTTATATTTTCGCGTAAGAATGTGCCACTAGAGCAATTTTAAAATGAGCGTTGAAAAACCAAAACCATTAGCATATTTATCAAAAATATCAGTCAAAACAAAGGTTACTATCAAAGTTAAAGCAAACAACATGCTTGAAGCGCAAGAAACAGATTAGTATGATAAATAGAATGTCATGCGTTAACTGATTGTACGTGTGACGGATACAGATCACACTTTTTGGTAAAGAAGCGAAGAAAAGCTTGTTTAACATTACAAAAGACTAAAATTCGTGGATTGCATTTGCTGTTACCGAATGTGAAGTCTTTTTAATAAAGAGAAGAAGATATAATTTGAAATACAATCGGCTTAGATCATGCAGGTATTTTCTAGGCTACAGAAAGTTGATACCTGTTTTGGTGGAGCGATGATTTGACTTTTTTCTGTAATGCTTACATCCTCTGCTTTAACTCTCGCCGTACTAATCCTTTCAGTTTCATTTCCAGGTGCAAGATTCGAGATACGATCACCAAGGTATCCCTCTTGGACGTTAGAAGGAGCTCTAAGTAAGTTTTTTCGTTTACAAGCCTGTTCTATTTCCTGTCTTACGTCTTCAGGAAGTGCTGCGAGAAATTCCGGATCAATCTGTGATGGAGAGGGTAACAGGTCTGAAGCCCTTAGAACCACTCCTTCTGACAAATTATTGTCTTCAAATAAAAGACGAGAGGATTTTGAAGCTGCCTTGCCCTTCTTGTTCTTAATACCTTTCTTTTGAGGGATTTGTTTTGGTGAGGTCTCATCTTCCTGAAAATGAAGTAAACACTTTATCTGATATTTTACACGAGCATACCAAGCCTTAATAAGACTCAATCCAGTCATAATTCCCAAAAGCAAAAATCCCCAAAACAAGTAAAGTCCGTAATTTGAACAGTGACATCGTGTCTGCTTACAGAAGGTGTGAACTTATGGACGACATCTGATAGTGGATATCTGTAAGTAGTTCAATTTAGTTGATCAGGTAAACCTATAAGCTTCTTCTGTGCATTGTAATTCTAGAAAGATTCTTGTTCCTAAATTGTTTGATAGCCACATTTAAAACATTGGAATCTTGATAAAATGATCCCCTGTATGGTAAAGACGCTGATTTTTCAGTAAATGGTTTGAACCCGGGGGTAACATGTGAAAGTGTAGTCTGATCGTCCGGGTGAGTGTAGTCCTGAGAATGACTGTTGTCGGTGGTAGTGACTGACGTTTCGACAACCTGTGTGGAAGTCATTATCAGAGTTAAGTGAATAGTTGTTGTCGGTAGAATGTTCTTAGTCCAGTTCGTGTAAAATGATTGGTCAGTTTTGACGTGATGCTATTCGCTGTGATACTCAAGTCCTTCTCAGTCCTTCTCAGTCCTTCTCAGTCCTTCTCAGTCCTTCTCAGGACTACACTCACCCGAACGATCACACTACACTTTTAGACGCTGATGTAGCGAACAAAATATTTCGAACCCTAAAAATACATTATTTAGAGGGGCCCTAGTTGTCCTAGAGTCATTAAGCGATAATTCAGGATTAAAAGTTTAATCAGTTTATGATTTGTCTTCAAATAAAGGGTATATCAGGGTTACGTTTGGAGCTGAAAGAAATCATAAACAATTAAAACCGTCCACAAAACTACAAAACTAAATCAACAATTCATATGAGAACGATCTTCGCAGTGAGCAATACTATTTAAGCAATAGTGAAATTAAAACCTGAAAAAAATTCAGGCCTGTACGGGATTCGAACGTAGTTGGCTTGTTAGCTCAGTTGGTAGAGCACTGCACTGGCATCGCAGAGGTCATGGGTTCAAATCCAGTACAGATCTGAATTTTTTTCAGGTCTTAATTTCACTATTGCTTAAATAGTGCTGCTCACTGCGAAGATCGTTCTCATATGCGTTTCTGCAACCGCAGTTCAAATATATGATTTCTCATATATTCTTAGCATTTGAATCAAGAATTGTTGACTAACCCTCGGTTCGCTTAATCGTGCTTTGAACAACTCGGCCCTCTGATGTATTGCAGCCTCATTTTAAATTAGAACATATTTTCCACTCCTTAAGCACCTCGCAAATCGAGGTTCCTTCGCATAATCAAATGGATCTCATCGACGAAACAAATAACTTATCATCAAGAATTAAACCCCAATAATAAACTAGAACGTACAAAATGAGGCAAACCAACCTCCTGTCTTCCTGTTTTGGGGGGTGGAATTCTCTTATTTCTTGCAGCATAAGATTTCTCGATGCTCCTCCGAATGTCTTCAGGTAAAGCCTCGAGTACTGTCGGATCAATCTGAGACGGAGAGGGCAGGTACAGGCTTTCGCCCAAGTCACCCAGCCTTTTCTCAGACCTGGAATTCGAAGCTTGCTGCGTGATCTGGGGCGAGAATTTTGGTAAAGGGGGAAGTGTTAACGTTGTCTCGCCTTTTTCCTGCACAGGGCTCTCGGCTGGTGATCTAATGTAATTTTCTCCTTTGATTTCAGCTGCTCTTTCAGAGGCTGCGGATTTAGTAACAACTTCAGTGTCAATCGATTGCGGTTTCATAAAATCAAACAGCGATCTTGTGTTCTTATCGGAAGTACCAGCCTTTTTGTCGTTCAACTTGCTTACTTGAATTCCCATCCCTCGCATATCCTCTGGCGGTACACTCAGTTGTTTCAGGAGTGCATGACATTGTTTGGCTATGACTTGCGCCTCATCTGTGACAGTTGGTAAAGTGCAAGACCGAGCGATGTTATCACAGATTCCGTGACCCATGAACTTTCTTGGAGTCGGTGCTCCTGCTTTGCGCACCTTCATCTAAACAAGCGAAGAATAAAAAAAGTATGCACACGAAACTGTCGCCCGAAGAAAGTGGTAAAAAATCTACACAGCCTCCATGAAAGTGCATTCTGTGTCTAAGTCCCATTCACACCAGCAAAACATGTTTAGTGAAACCAGGTTTAACTGAATGAAGGCCGGCAACAGAAAACTAAAAACCAGTGGAGTTTTCCAAGGGGTTCAAAGTAATCACAAATTTGAATTTCCAAGGTGTTAAATTGAAAGTCAATACACAACAGCTTAAAAGAAGAAAACAGTCTTAAACCGTGTTTGACAACTGAAACAGCTTTAAAAAGTGTTTAAACTTTGTTTTTAAATGGGGAGTAAGTTTGCGACAGAATACAAATTGCACTTGCTTGACTTTCGAAAGGGAAACCAGCTCTGGGACAAGTAAATTTGTTGGGGGGTTTTACGGCTCGCTCGGCCAAATTTACGACAGGTGCCAAGACTCTGTACTTTTCTTCTTTTATTCTCTTCTGGAGAGCTACTACAGCAACGCTTTCTGCATCTAATACTCTGTGCATCTAATGCTCTACGCATTCAATAATCATGCGAGAGGTACTAACGCTTTAAGTAGGAAAACTGTAGACGTGTTTGGGTTCGCTGACCGTGAGAGTTTCCACAGTGTATCCGTTTATTTTCAAAAAGGGGGAAACTGGTCGGCCCCCACCGAAGTACTTGGCGAGCACCAAGGAACCAATTAAACGTTAAAGGCTGGCCACAGGAATTGCGCACACAAACAGGAACTTCAGTGTGGGTAGAACTCAAGGTCAGCTTTACCAACCCAAACACGACCACCTGTAAAACTCTCTAATTGTCTAAATGTCTAACACGGTAACAAGGAAATCCGTGAGCTGAGCCAAAAAAAGCATAAATCTACCAAAACAACACGTAGGCGCAACAGGCAAGGATTAACAAAACAAAAGGCTTAACTAGAAAAGTCTCAAAACAACAACTTTCAATTCACCTCACAACAAAACTATAACATTATGTGCTCCCGTGTCACATGGTAACTTCTTTACCTTTAGGGTTATACATTTGCCCTTCAACCCAAGCGCCTGAAGTCTCTTTTGTACTTCTTCAGCAAGTTCATTGACAAATGATTCCACCTCACTTTCCTACGGCAAAAAAAAGTATTGGCAAGTGAAGTAACAAAATACGAGATCTAAAATATCCTTACAAATATTCGCCGGCTATATTTCATCAACACCGCAAAACATGCATAAAACCAATAATGATCGATTATCAGCTCTTTGAGAAATAGCCGAACCAACAATGTAATCTCCTTTTTTAATTCAACATGTGTGGGGTTTCATGGACAACCAAGGTGAAAGCCCTTTACGTTATGTTCTTCACGTCTGACAGGCACCAAAACGAATCTTAGCTTTAAAGCCTTTTCAACAATGAGCCTTATTTGACCTTGGTGAAGCGGATTCCATAGTTGATCTCTGCCGATACAGACTTTCTCTCTCGCTGAGTTTTAAGAGTCCTGTGATCAATACCGCGGGAGGACTGGTATAAAACAACACCCGTCTTGGCTCCGAACTCGCCTTGTAATACTTGACAACTGAGCTTCTGTAAGTCAGAGCACGTTTCAACTCCCAATGTTCGCAGCTTATCCCTCAGGCTCCATCCTACTCCGGGGAGGTCTTCCACTTTCTGGGAGCCTGGGAAACAACGAAAGAGAATGGTCGAGAAAAAACAAGAGCATAGCGATCACCTAGTACTCATAATAATAATCTCTTATTAGGAAACTTTCATCGCATCACTGTGGTTTTCAGAAAGGTTCAAACTACTCTTTAAGAGATGGTAAATAACGAAAGGTTTTCATATGCTTCAAAAAACAGAAGTCAAACATTTGATGAAAAGACCATTTAACCAGGTAATGTGTTAAGTGGCTGCATCGAGCAAAATATTGGTATGAATCTGCCTCACGATTCCAAGATTGGATGCTGGAGATGTCAGCAAAATTATGAGACTGAAATACGTTAAGATCTCACAAAAAAAAAATTTCCCAAAGGCACAGTCTGGTCTGATAATATGAAGCATTTTTATAACCTAAGCTATTTTAAGTTTCATTTCACAACTTCAAGTGAAGACAATCACTCCTTCTGTGTTTCAAATCAGCCCAAACCACGTCTGACTTGAAGATCTCTGAGTTGTACTACATGTAAGTGTGTGAGATTTCTATAGAGAAACGTACCCATAAACGTATTGACATCATCAGAAGGCGATAAGTAATAACATCCATCAGGTTTAGCCATTCTGGTGCACATTCTCGCCAGAAGAATATTAAATGAGATACCAACGGACGCCGTACAGCCAGTGGCTTCTTTAATCTCCGCGCGAATCTTCTGTGCGAGCTGTATTGGTGTTTCATCCGCTAACAAAAGTAGCACTAAAGTTATAACTCGGGATGAAAAGATGCAAAATGTATGGTGCTTAAATCCATTTAAATTAGAGGTCATCTGAAAGTTGAGTTGATGTAAAGGGGTGATCAACGTTTCAGCTCTTATAGCTGATAGTTTCGCCTTTTACGGAAAAACTGTAGCATCTGGAAGCTCAGTTGCTCGTTCTTACAGCTTCGCCGCCGTCACATTTTCTTACAGCGCCTCAAAAAACCGCCAGCTACACAAACTATTAACGCCTGAGACTTAGTCTTTTATACCTTTTATTTTAATTGAAAACCTTAAAATTAATTCTTAACAAGATTTGTGACTCTCTTCGCTAATTCCCAATCCAGCTGTCTAGCCTATTTGATACTGCTACGTTTATGTAATTGTGAATTGTTAGCATAATCAGTATCAGGCTTCATGTTTTTGGTTTTAACCGCCCTTCATACCAATCTGATCTAATCAAATTAATTTAGTAGACTTTGTCACCTCTACTGCACTTTTCTCTATAGTGTACCGAAAACAAAAAAGTATAATCTCAAAGATGATCGCTACGAAAAACTGAGATGTGGAACTATACACCTTCGGTAGATTTGGAAAAGCTGTTTCTAAGGTTTTCAAAGTCAAATCTTGGACAAAAATACAAGACGTACAAAGAAAATACCTTCCATGGTCTCCGACACGTCAATATAAGCCTCGTCACAGCTCACAGCTTCTATTTCACGACTATAGGTCACCAAAATATCATAGAGCCTCTGGGAGACTTTGCGGTATTCATCAAACTGGTATGGAACACAGTGGATATCAGGACAGAGTTTACGTGCAGGACCCAGGAACATGCCATTACGAACCCCAACAGCCCTTGCCTCGTAGCTACAGGAAGCGATCTCTGACATGGAGTTGAAGAATGATGCCGTTTTCGCTGGTGAACTTTGCGGGTTACAGGCAGATGCTAAATTACCAAAATAAATATTAACAATTGTTTAGTTGTCTCGTGTAAAACTGTACGTACACAGTAACCTTCATCTTAAAAAAACTCTCTCTTCCAACAAATCGACCGAGCGTGCGTCAGCTTGTCGGTGAATTTGCAAATTTTCCCACGCCTTTCAAAGGTTGGATAAATTTTTGAGCTGATATGAACTTTTTTACTCCGTTCTTTGGTAATTCACACGCATTCAAAAAGCATCATACTCGTAACTAATTCGATTCAGGATAGAGTAGTTTTCAATGGAGTGTCGAAAAAA